TGTGGCTGCTTCCTGGGGATATCTTGAGTCTGTTACCCTGTGTTTAGGGTCCTTTGACTAAGGGAAGTACCCAGCAAGACCACCAGGTGGTGCTGTCTAACCACAGAGCACCCTGGTTGATCTGCTAGAAACCTGCGTTCTATGCTAGGCTCTGCCATTCCTTTGTTGTGTGGCCTTGGACCTCAATTTCCTCACCTGTAAAATGGGGTTAGACTGGCCTAGTGAAAACCTAAACTTTTAAGACGGACTGACCTGAACTAAGTTTTTCACTCCAGCAGAGCCACATTATGACTTTCATGGTCCCTAGGCATTTTGCCTTCATGCATCCCTTCTTCCACAAAAAATATTAAAAAGTATATTTTACAACTATGTTGGTATAAATACAAATATATTAATATTATGTATTAAGGTTTTTACTTCAACCTAAAATTTTATCTTATTCCTTCTTCTGAAAGAAAACATTTCCATGGCCCTCAAAAGTATTATGAACCCTGGGGAGCCTGGGTGGATTTGTCAGTTAAGTGACTGACTCTTGATTTCGGCTGAGGTCATGATCTCACTCACGGTTCATGAGTTCGACCCCCACATCGGGCTCCATGCTGGCAGTGCAGAGCCTGCTTGGGATTCTCTGTCTCCCTCTCTCTCTACCCCTCTTGTGCTCTCTCTCTCTCTCTCTCTCTCCAAATAAGTAAAATAAACTTTAAAAAATTATTTTAAAAAATGTATTACAAACCCTAGGCTCTGTGCCTACTGTGCCTCATGGAAGAGTCATGCTGGACTCCAGTACTTACCGGCTGTATGACCATGGGCAGTTGTTTAACTTCTCTGGGCCTCAGTTTCCTCATTTATAAAATGGAGATGACAACAGACCCCACCTTTTTGGTGCCATGGTTGGAATTTAGTGAGAGAGTGCATGGCATGACTTCTTAGAGCAAGCCCTAGCCAATGGTAGTAGCTATTATTATTATTATTATTATTATCTTCTTTAAGGATATTTTCTTTTTTTGATGTTTATTTATTTTTGAGAGAAAGAGAGAAAGCAAGCAGGGGAGGGTCAGGGAGAGAGGGAGACCCAGAATCTGAAGCAGACTCCAGGCTCTGAGCTGTCAGCACAGAGCCCAATGTGGGGCTCGAGCCATGAGATCATGACCCAAGCCAAAATCGGACTCTTAACTGACTAAACCACCCAGGTGCCCCAAGGATATTTTCTAACCTCCATGAAACTATTAAAATATCTCAGGGGTGACTGGGTGGCTCAGTCGGTTGGGCTTCTGACTTCGGCTCAGGTTATGATCTCACAGCTCTTGAATTGGAGCCCCACGTCGGGCTCTGTGCTGACAGCTCTGAGCCTGGAGCCTGCTTTGGATTCTGTCTCTCTCTCTCTCTCTCTCTGCCCCTAACCCACTTGCATTCTGTCTCTGTCTCTCTCAAAAATAAATAAACATTAAAAAAATTTCAATATCTCAAAATATGTCAAAAAAATAAAACGAAACTTCAGGATATTTGATGGGGGAAGTTTAAGAGTTTCCTAGAGAAGAGTGTATCAGCAGAAGGAGTTTTTGCAAATGATAAACATAGATTTTTCTCCTGCCATTGGCAAACTCATGAAATAGGAACATGGACTTGTACCAATCAGCTGGAATCTGGGCCAGCTGGAGAATATGTGCAAGCCCATGTTCCCACCTCATGAGCAGATACTTGGGGAAAGTGTGTGTGTGCGTGTGTGTGCGCGCGCGCGCGCGTGTGTGTGTGTGTGTGTGTGTGTGTGTGTGTCTGCAGCATTCATCTCAGAGAAAGGAGATTTGCATGGAGATTTGAAGGCTATGAAAGCCTTAGGCCTATGGAGACAGGGACATTGTGTTTGCAGGGAAGAGGGGCAAAGAGGGGAGGGGAGCTTTAGGCTGAGAAACATTATGTATAAAGGTCTGGGGCAGGAGGGTGGAGGGCAAATTCAAGCAACCGCGGTGAGGTTTACCTTTCTTTAGCTGATTTTTTAAAATTTTTTTTCAAATGTTTATTTCTATTGACAGAGTGTGCCAGTGTGATCAGGGGAGGGGCAGAGAGAGAAGGAGAGAGAGAATCCCAAGCAGGTTCTGCACTGTCAGCACAGAGCCTGATGCAAGGCTCCATCTTACCAACCATGAGATCATGACCTGAGCAGAAATCAAGTCGGACACTTAACTGACTGAGCTACCCAGGTGCCCCTCTTTAACTGAATTTTAGTTCTCCTATCCCTGGTGCCATCCCATTTTATATCCTTCAAACATTGTTTGAGAAACGTGAATGCACTAGGAAGCCCTGTCAATTTTTTAATCCCCAATTTGTACCAGCAAAAATCACTCCCTAACTTTGTAAGTTAGGTGTTTCCATCTGGAAGTGTTTCTAAAAGAAAAATTACAACAATCCTGCTACCCAATGTCTACTACTTTTGGTTCAAAAAAATTTTCTTTTAAGGATAATTATGTGAAGACTATTGCCTTCTTCTCCAAGATGGCACAGTAGTGCCCTCTGAGTTTAATTAATGACACAAAAACTCTGTCTCCTTTTATTTTCCTGGTTTGACAACTGTCCTTATACTTGCCTTCTCCAGCCCAAGGGAAAGATATGAGCCAGGGCTGCTGAACTGAAGAAACTCCCTCCACCCTCTGGCCCCCAGCCCACAGAGACAGGATGAAGAGCATGAAAGAAATGCTGCTGTGTTTGAGGCAGGAAGGGGATGTTGATAAGAAAGAGAAAATAACAGGAATGGAAGAGGGGCATCTCAATTTCTCAAGACTCACTTGCTGAAATACTTTTTGTGATCAAAGATAGAGAAATGGAACCTTGGTCTGATTCCTCGTATAGCAAAAATTCAAAGTAATTAAATGAGAGACATATGTACCCAAAGACTTAAAGCGAGCCACCCTTTGACGGAGCAAGTCCTGCTAATAAAAATATAGCCTCCACTTGTCAAGGGCTTGCTAAGTGTGAAGCACACATTCAGTGTTTTACATTCATTATCTTACTGAAACTTCACCTCTGAGGTTGATCACATCAGGGGACTGAAGGCAAGTGGCCTGCTCAGCATCCCAGAGCTCGTAGGTGGTACAGATTATGGCTCCAAAGTGAGCCTATCCCCTCCTCATGTTACCCTCTTCTCACTAAGCAGGGCCAGGAGAGTGAGTTTAAGATCTGGTTTCTCAATAACTAATGAAAGAAAAGTCTTATCCTCAGGTCTTCTGGGAGCCTCTCAAAAATGCAGGCTTTTGGGCCCCACCCCAGACCTTCTGAGACAGCCTCTGGGGGCCTGGAGCCTAGGCATCAGCATGGCGACAGGTCCCCTGGGATTCTGGGACACACCAGTTTTGAACCCTCTGGATAAAGCCAAAGCTGAAAGGTTGTGTACCACCAAGGTGTGCCTTCCTTCCCCTAAAAGGCACAAGAGTTCCTTGCCCCAGTCAGGCCAGGTGACCCAAAGGGATGGGAGCATGTCTGTGGCCCTGTTAAGTTGTGACCAGCAAGAAGCCCCACTCTGCCTCCTCTTGCTGGGCAGAGTGGCCCCAGAGCCAGCAGGTGCCCGTGGCTCCAGTAAGCTGCTCCAATGCAGAGACAGAAGGATGTCCTGTCACAAAGGAGGTCACAGGGTGGGAAGGACCAGCTGGAGCAGTGGACAGGACAGTGGTTGGTCTGGTCCACCTTCCCCTGCCTCCCCCACCGAGCACAGGGCTCTTGTCCCAGCCATGCCGCTGGCCTCTGGAATGAAAGGATCATCATCTCCTCCAGAGTAAGCTCATTTGGGAATTGCCTGCTTGACCATTTGGGACCTTGGAAATTGGATGTGTTCCTGGGTTGGTGAGCCCTGCTCACAAGAGGAGGTGACAGGAACTTTATAACCTTACTCCCTCCCCCCCCCCATTCCAACGAAATTTGGGGGAAAATGGTTTTCCCATGTAAGCAGAACACTTTTGATTTAATTCCGTCAGTCAGATGCAACCAAATTTCAAAACTCAGGCTTATGGTCTCTTTTTCTTATATCAAAAGTCACATTGTCTCTGATATATTAAGGAAAATCAGCGAGAAGTAGGACCATGCATAATATACTCTATGTTTCAAGGTTACATATGGTGCTTATTTATGCATAGACTCTCTTGGAAGGATGCATAAACTGGTAAGAGGGCTTGCTTCTGAGACAGGAAACGAGTGGGTGAGGTCCCGGGGCAGCATTTCTTGTCTCTGCTTATTCTTTGGTACTGCCCGTATATTTAGCCATGTTCAGGTACCACTTGAACAAAAGAAGCAATGTAAAGGAAAGCGAAGTGAAACAAACAAGAATGGTCACCATGGATACAGGCAAAATGGTGCCGGCAGGAGTCCTCTGTAACTCTTTGGTTGCAGAATGATAACAAAACCCTGAGCCTCTGCCAGCCAGCTGGCCTACTCAAAGCCCAGGAGGAGGGAGGCTTGGGGCCATGCAGGGAAGGGGCAGTCCTGCTGGACACAGAGTGCAAGATGGGATGAAGGTGAGGCTGACGTGTTACGCCAGAAAATACAGACCCTTGTGGGCATCCAAAAACTCTGGGCTCTCTCCAGATGGCGGTGGGAGCCCCCGCAGGGTATTGAAGCAGGGCTGGGAATTCAAGTGGGCTGTGGTCAGAATGGAATTTCAAAGGATGGCACTGGTGGTTACTGGGCTTGCTGAGTTGGAGGACAATTTGGAGGCAGGGAGGCCAGGTGGGATGGCCTTCATGCTTCATCCCCATGAGACATGATCACCATCCTGACCTCGAACGGGAGGGGACAGATTCCTCAAACAGATAATTGCCCAAATCCTAGGGTACAGTTGGGGCCTTGGCCTTTCTCAGGACGTGAAGCCTGTCCTTTTGGACTGCAAAATCCCCCCGTTTCCTTTTAGGTAAGTCAGGGGAGGAAGGAGCCCAAGGAGGGTAAGAGAAGACTGTCCTCCCAATTTGACTCAAGTCAGATTAAATTCAAGTTGAAAAATGAAAGCAGTTGGACCAGACTTGTTTCCTGAGTGCAGGCAGAAGTTCATACCTGTTAAAGCTGTTTTATTTAGAAGCAAGAAATGGTCAATAAAATGGCATTCTTGTATCTAGGAGCGACGGGTCTTTTTCTTCCTTGGAGAGATAGATTTTTTGTTGGTGGCGAAGACCCTTGAAGATTGTAGTTTAAATTCAACTGGAAAGTGGTCACTGACATCCAAGGCCTATAAAGAGAAAAAGGAGATAAATTTGGGGATTAGGAGACTCTCATTTTAGTGCTGAACAAATTCAGGTTCAAAGTGGGAAGACAAAAGGCCTAAAGTCACCCAACAGAACACACACTGGTGAGCATCATCCCTGGACCAGCTCAATCAGAAATTGAGACAGGTCTTCAAGTCACAGAATCATGGGCTTTGAGACTCAAGGTCCAATGGCCCAGTGTTGTGTCTCCAGTGGTGGCCTCAAAGGGTGACACCAACTCATCTTCCCAGGACAGTGGCACAGAAAGACAAGATGGCAGCTGTACCTCCTCTTTGGTCAACCCATAAGCTTTCTGGAAGTCAAAGGTTCTGTTTGATCTGTGAACAACAAAGTTGATGATCTCTTGTCCTCGAAGCACGATCCTGGAGAAGGGGAGGGAAGACAGTCACATTAATCCACCTTGTTGATTTCTGAGACCAACCAAATTTCCTGTTTGACATCTGGAATGGACTGAGCAGCCTGGCTCTTCCGAGTGATGTTCAAAGTGCAGACCTGGTGACCCTTAGGACAATGCCTCAGACTGGGAAATGGGACCAAGCCCTGCCGTGGCCCCATGGGCTCCAAAACAGTGTTTCCCTGTGTGGGCAGTTAGCCCTGATGGTGGAGGAGAAGATTATAAATGATACGTGGACACCACACCACGTACTGATGACTTGCATAGTGAGAATATTTTTCCCTTCACAGTTATTTTTCACTTTTTCTTGATTTGATTATAGATAAAGGTACTGGCTTATCTTTAATAACCCCCTAAGCTCCCATTTTGACCAAGACTGAGCAGGCTGGAGTCACCAAGCATTCTGCAAGCGAGAGAACTAAGGCAGAATTTAACATGGTTTGATTTTCACAGGGCTTATTTTTAGCTATTTTCAATTTACGACAGAGGATATTGTTTCTCACCTTAACATGAAATTTCCTTTAAAAATTAATTTATTTCATTAGAAATGAATGGACTTAAAGACAAATACAGACAAAAACCATAGTATGATTGCTTTGCGGTGATAACAAACACCGGGAACATGGTAGCTAAATGAGTCTGGGAAACATGGACTCTAATGTATCCCAGGTGGAGTGATGAGTTGGGGTCTGCATGGCTCCAACCCACTGACTGAACAAGGACAAGGTGAGTCAAACTGCCAGTTCATGCCTCTCCACCAAGCTTTCCCTGATCCGACCTGTGACTTGGTTTCCTGTGTTTGCTACCATACCACCGGGGTTAACTTTGAATTCAGTACCCAAGTGAACCCTTCACCTTCGGCTGGAGATTTCTTAGAGCCATCCTTCAGACTCAGAGAGTAGAGAGCAACATCATTAAGACCCCCGTTTCTGACTCCTACATATGTGTGCAGGCCATTGAAGTCTTTCCCGAGGCATGGCACAGGCCAGCTCTTGACATCTTTTGTGTCCAGCAGCAGAGCACAGCTCGTGGGAGGTGTTCAATAAATATCTGAACACGGAACGAAGACTGGAATTGAGACCATTTCATTTTACTCTCCTTGTTAGAAATTTATATGCCTTTTTAAAAAACCCTAAAAGATACATGCTTGTACCGAAAACAGAAAATTCAGAGCAGCAAAATGAGAAATTAAAAAAAAAAAAGCACATGTAATCCTGCCATCCTTTGGCATATATGTGTATAAAACTGAGGTTCTTTCAGTAAACATCTTTTTTTAACCTGTTCCCCCACCCCACCCAATCTTACGTGAACATCTTTCCCTGTGATTCACTGTTCTCTGCTTCATTATTTTCAATCACCTCCCTCTTGTTGGTCAGGGGTGCAGAAGGTTCTTGACCTGCCCACGGTCAATGCACAACTGCATGTGAGTAGGCAGGTGGGTGAACAGACTGGTGGGTGGACAGGCTGGCGGGGTGAGTGGCCTACTCCAACCAGCTTTGTTGGCAACTGGTCAAAGTGAGAGAGAGGAGGCAGGCACCTGCGAGCTCGGCCTCTTGTAACCCTCCTGCCTTGATTCCGCTTTCCCCAGTGCTAGGGCTGTTTCCACTCTTGAGAGCTGGAGCAGTGACTTCTGCAAAGGACATACCAGCCCTGAAAGCTCCGAGAGGAACAAAGGAGGTCATGGATGGAAATGAAAGCCAGACCTCAAAACTAGAGAAGTGAGAACAGCTGTCTTCTGGCAGAAGCCGTCTCCTGCTTCCTCGGAGGCAGGCTGAGCTCTGGGAACTGCGGTCACAGCGGATTTCCCAGCCTGCGGTCTCTGTTGTGGGTGGGGAGATCATGAACATGCACACAATTCAAGTGCCTTCCCCACCTCTAGGTTTAAGAAACAAAAGTGAGAGCTGATTGAAATTCCCCAGGGAGATGTTACAACTGTGAGAGAATGTTATCATTTACTTTTTTTTTTTTTTCATTCAATCTCTACACCCAGTATGGGGCTTGAACTCACACCCCGGGATCAAGAGCCGTGTGCTCTACTCACTGAGCCAACCGGGAGCCCCGAGAATGCTATTATTTACAGGTATGTGTTTGCATTTAGGAATATGTAACAAAAGCTTTTTTTTAATTTCTTTTTTAACATTTTATTTATTTTTGAGAGACTGAGCACAAGCAGGGGAGGGGCAGAGAAAAGACAGAGACAGAATCTGAAGCAGGCTCCAGGCTCCGAGCTGTTAGTACAGAGCCTGATGCGGGGCTTGAACCCACAAACTGTGAGATCATGACCTGAACCCACGAACCTGTGAGATCATGACCTGAACCAAAGTCAGAGGGTTAACTGACTGAGCCACCCAGGCACCCCTGTAGCAAAAGTTTTAAAAAAGTAAGTACCCTGGGTGCCTGGGTGACGCAGTCGGTTAAGCCTCTGACTTTGACTCATGATCTCACAGCTCATAAGTTTGAGCCCCGCTCCAGGTGAGCCCTGCTTCTCTCTCTCTCTCTCCCTCTCCCTCTCCCTCTCTCACTTGTACCCTCTCTCTCAAAAAAACAACAACAAAAAAGTAAATACCCTTTTACTTACTCGTCTCATTTTTAGTTTTACCCTGAGCAATTCATAAATATATGCACAAAGTACATGTATAGAATGTTCACTTCAGCAGTGCTTCTACCAGGAAACTCTTGGTAATAACCTAAGCCCAATGACAGGGGATTTGAGTGAATGCATTGTGGTATGTCTTTGTGATGAAATAATTAACAGCCGGTGAATGTATGGAACGCTTACCATATGCCAGGCATTGTGTGAGAAGACATATACTACTTCATCTAATCCTCATCGTGGCTCCATGAATGAGGCACGACTACAATCTCCATTTTACAGATGAGGAAGCAAAGACACAGACATATGCACAGATACATGAAATGGTAGAGGCAGGATTTGAATCCAGACCTGTCTGACACCAAAGCCTGCACTAGCCACAGTTAAGCTGCAATGCTCAGGGCTCCCGGACACGGCCATGCAGTTCGCACACTGCACAAGTACCCAATGGCCGGGCCTGAAGTCTAATTGACTCAGCGCTGCAAGCCAGGTTCTTCCTCCGCCCAGAGCAAGGCACCTTTCCTGATGCATACCAAGCACTGGATGGGCTAGCTGGAGTCAGGCAGGTGCCTCCTACCTGTCATATGCACAGTTGGTGCTCTCCTTGACTGTGGTGTCCTCTTGGTCCCCTATCAGCCAAACAAACCCGGGGTCAGTCCTCAAGCGGATGTTTTTCCAGGCCTTCTTGGGCACATAGCTACAGCCGGCGTTGAAGTCACCCATGAAAATGAAATTCTGAAAGACGTTATTTGGAACCGTCACCTTGTGTGTATTATTGCCAATGCTTTTGCTCAGAACTGCTAGCAATGGCCCCACCTCCCATACTCAGCAAACAGCGGGGTCTGTTATGGCTAAATTGTGCCCTCCCCCACCCCTACAAATTCATATGTTGAAGTCCTAACACACGATACCTTAGAATGTGACTGTATCTGGAGAAAGGCCTTCAAAGAGGTGACTAAGGTAAAATGAGGTTATAGGGGTGGCCCCTAATCCAATATGGCCGGTGTCCTCATAAAAAGAGATTGGGACACAGAGAGACATGGACGGAAGACCGTGGACAGAAGCCTCAGGAGAAACCAACCCTGTTGACACCTTGACCTTAGACATCCAGCTTCTAGGGTTGTGAGGGTATACATTTCCGTTGTTTAAGTCACCCAGTCTTTGGCTGCACTTGGCAAAGTAATATAAGGTCTTTTTCTTTCTTTCTTTCTTTTTTTTTTTTTTAGAGTTTAAAACTGAGTCACAGTTTTGATGAGTATTTGTCAGGGGAGAACGTACAAGGGAAGGTGTTCTCACTGGGAAGGAGGATGTTTGCTGTGGCCCTTCCCTCCTGCTCTTAGTCACTGTGTCCCTCTAATTCAGCTTGTGGAGTTAGGTGGGGATCAAAGAATCCAGCTCATTTATCTCCCTCAAATCTCTCTGGCTCAAACTACTGTAGAGGATAAACATATGGATGTATCAACGCCTTTTGTTTCCGAGCAGGACAGATGAATTTGGGTGGCTAATTTGACACCTTTGGCACCCTGCTTTTCTGTCCTATTGTTTGGAAGTTGGGAACCCACTCCTGTGGAAATTCTGTCTACTGAGGAAGTAGGAAGAGCCTGAAAGGAAGGAGGTGACAGAGTGAGTTGTCCACCCCTGCCCCGAGGCCACCAGCAGCACCTCCTGTCTTAGAAGTGTTTTTCCCTTCAGAGCTCTTGGAACAGAATTTTAATATTCCTCAATCCAGAGGAAGCGTCGGATTTCCTTGCTGGTGCTGTTGTTTGGGGCTGTTGCTGACTTTAGAGTTTTCTTCAAAAACATTTTATTTTGACCTCAGAGACCATGGTTTTCCCTGAGATTGATGGGCGCGGCCGAGGTCAGAATGTCATCCTTAACCCGAGTGACCACCAGCTCCTATTGTTATAGGCATGATTTGCTGAGCATGTACTGCCTGTCAGGCCAAGCATTAAATGTTTAATAAAATTTAAATTAAATCTCACAATAAACACTAGAAGGTAGAAGGGAAACAGGATAGAGGGATAAAGTGACCAGTTCTAGGCCACTCAACTTATGGGCTCAAGTGGTAAAGTCAAGAATTAAATCCTGATCTGCCTCACTGAAGGGCCCTCAGCACAAGACGGCCCTCTTGTTCACTCTTGTGCCACCGATGTCTCCCTAGTGCCTGACATGTAATGGATGCTCAGTAAATTCTTGTTGTGTGAATGAATGAATTCAGAATTTTAGGAATGAATGAGTCTTTCTCTTGTCTTGCTTTTTACAAATAAGCAATGACTTACACACCTGGTGCTCTCCATGTCCTAGCTCTGTGTCCACACTTTCCTTGACTCATTTTGCAGTTTGAACAGTGGAACTGAGGAGGGGGGAAGGGGAGGTCACTGGAGTCACATCCCAAAAGGAGGAAAGAGGAATGAGGAAGAGCCCTCTGGAACACTTCCATATTTGCCAAGAGCTTTCACAGGCCCTCATAGCCACAGCGGGTGACATCCCCATTTTCCAGATGAGGCCGAGACGGATGGTGGATGTATTCCCTTTCTGTGAGAATAGCACCCCTTGATTATTTGGGAACCTACTTTCCTCCTTCACCCCAGTCTGTGAGATTGGGCTGAAGCTCACACTGATTTAACAAATCAGAGCTTCTTAACCAGAGCTGATCGCAGTGGTTGGTTCGGGGATGGATGAATGACCCAATCAGGGCCAATGGGACCCAATCCTGAGAAACTTATTGTATTATGACACAGAAAATCTGTCTCAGACCACTGGGTCTGGAAGCTGCTGGTGGCCATCTTCCCTTCCCAAGGGTGGAGACCACCCAGAGGAAAGGAAGGCAAAGAGATGGAAAGAAACAGACAAGCCAAGCCCTGATTACCTTGTCTGAGCCCTGGATCCAGCTATGCCTGAACTACTTCTGGACATTTTAGTCACATAAACCAATAAATTGCTCTTCCTTTCATGAACCAATTTGAGAGTCATCACCTGCAGTGAAGGACTCTTGATCCCTCTGTGTCTCACTGTTCTCATCGCAGAGTGAGAATGAGAAAGGTAGTTACTTCACGGGGTTATTGGGAGGATTAAATCAACCTGTGCATGTTCAGCCTCAGTGTGGCCTGGCAATAGCTATTCACCCAGTGATTTTGGACAGCCATTATTAGGGGAGCAGTGTACGAATTGCTGAGACCCACGTGGACAGTACCCAGGCAAATTTAGCAAGAGGGGTATTTAAGGCAGAGGTAAGGCCTAAAATGAGGCTCTAAAATAGTGGGGGTCTGCACAGGTCCTGCCCCACCCCCCACCCTCCTGGGGAGTCCCTCATCCCTCCCCAGAACCACATTCTGCCTCTGCTAGACAGGAATTCAACAGACACAGAGGGTCATCACCTCCGCCTTCCAGCGATGTTTCATATCCGTGTAGACATCAACCAGCTCATCAATCTCTTTAACGGAGGTCTCAGGGGTGGTGTGCAGGGGGACAATCACGAAGTCCTTGACAACTGAGGAACAGGAAAGAGGCGGAGGTCACACACTTCCCTGAACAGAGGAAGGTTCCATGAACACTGCTGAAGGGAAACAGACTGTCCCCCTAGAAGGCCCAGCCTGCATTGTCTGGGTCCCCTCATTTCTAGAGGGTCCAGCCGGTGGCTGAGATGTGCCTGTTCTTAGGATGATTAGGCCGGCATTTTCAGTACATGAAAGCCTCTTTTCTCCCACTCACCTGCAGAGCTAAGAGAAAGCCAGTAGACAGTACTGCTTGCTGGTATTGTGGGTGTTTTTATTTTCTCATTTTTTGAAAAATTATATTCTCTACTTTTTAAAAACTAATAAGTCAAGCCTGTTTGGCTTTTGTACTAAAGAAAAAAGTTTTTTCTAATTAAAAAAAAAAAGGAGGCTTGTCAGTTTATGCTTCTTTTGTAATCAGGAAAAAAAAAACCCAAACATTATTTAAAAAAGAAAGTGGTCTTTTGTGAAATATCTGAAAACCTCCCCCCACCGGGAGGGACAGAGGGAGCCTTGGAACTGAGCCTCGCCCACCTGGTAATGGAGATGTTGTGCTCTGAATGCCTCTTCCCCCGGCTTTCCCTTGTCCTGTGCCTGGGTCCCCAGGCCTACTAGGGAGCTAGGGGCTGTTGGGAATCACTGCTCAGGTCACACAATGGAAAGTCAGGACTCAGAGCCTGCAGCCTGTCTCCAGGACCCTGCACTTACCCACCAGCCTTATTTCTCACTCTTCTCAGGCCTCCGCTCCACCCCCCCATCCTCTCTCTGGTCTCCCTACACATCCCAACTCCTTTCCACCTCTGAGCTTACTGGCACCTCCCCTCAGAATGGCCCTTTCCCCAGTCTTCTGTGACTGGCTTCTTCAGGTCACAACCCAATGTCACCTAAATTGGGTTGGTCCCTCACCCCACTATGGAATGCACCCTGCTTGTACTTCCTTCATGCCCTGAGATTACTTGCTGTGCTTCTGAGTTTGGCCCACTGGAACCTGAGTTCTGTCTTGCTCACCCTCTTGGCTCCAGCACCTAGCACAGCACCTGGCACATGGGAGATGCTCAAAACTGTTGATTGAATACATAAATGAATGAATGAGTAAATGAATAAAAGGGAAAAAAGATAGATGAATGGCTAACTCTATCTTTAATCTCAAATACAGGGGACATAACGTTTCCTTGTACAAGATAGAAAATTCCAAACAGGAGGGCTCCTGGGTGGCTCAGTCGGTTAAGCGTCCAACTCTTGGTCTCAGCTCAGGCCATGATCTCATGGTTTGTGAGTTCAAGCCCTGCGTTGGGCTCTGCGCTGCCAGCACAGAGCAGAGCCTGCTTGGGATTCTGTCTCTAGGTCTCTCTGCCTTCCCCATCCATGCACCTCCCCCTTGCTCTCTCAAAATAAATAAATTTAAAAAAATTCTAAACAGGGCATGGCTGAAGTGCCATCCTAGGGGAGGAGAGATAGAGAAGGGTGAAAAGGTGGAGGCCCAAGACAAACAGGTTTGTTTAGCAATGTTTAGCTGTGTGTAGCTGAAGACTCTCTCGGAGAAGAAATAATCACTTGGGGCGGGGGGCAGGGTGCTCTCCAAACACTGCTCTGGTCAGCTAAGTGTGAATTGTGTGCACGATGAAGCTATTACACATGCTCTCTGACGTGCATTTCTGTCCTAAATAGCCCCCAGATCCTTCTCTTCTTCTACTGGAAATTCCTCCACCTTTCTTCCATGTTGGTTTTCCTGAAGTACTAATTAGCCAGGGTGGGAATAGTTAACTTCATCGTTCAGGGTGTTTATATTTGTGTAGTATAAATTTGGGGGTACATGCCCACATACATTTATTTATTTGGTCATTATCTGTCTTGCCTACTACAACATAACTTCACTAGGGCAGGGGCTTTGTCTGCCTTGGTCAGTGCCTGGAACAGACCATGGCACGTCGTAGGTACTGAAAAGATATTGGATTCTATATAGCTTCAATCTGCAAATCAAATTAATTCTTGACTTTCCATTTCAAGATGCACTGTGGTTAAGAGTATGTGCTCCCAAGATAGTGGCTTGGGTTACAGCCCTGCTCACTCATGTCAAGAGCTGCTGGGTGAACTTGGACAAGTGACTCCACCTATTTGAACCTTGGCTTCTTCAAATGTAAAAGTGGAGACAATCCTAGGTCTCAACCTGCAGGGTGTTGCAAGGTTACAGGAACCTGGCACTAATCAGGGATCAATACTTGTTAGTGGCTTATATAAGTGTAGTTGTCGTCAAAGTTAAGGGAGCAATCATTTGGATTTCCCCTCTATACCCAGTCCTTGGAGGACTTTGCCATGTCATTACTAGAGGCAGAGGGAGACTTTAGTTTGGGGTTCATTTCTGCTGGCCACCACTGTGATTTTTCAGAATGAAGCTATACTTGACTGCGACTCAAGAATTGCAGTAAATAATTTCCATCAGCCTAACTGCTCCAACAAGAGTGGAGTTACCACTGACTTCAGGTGCATTCTAAGGGAGGAGGTCTTGGCATTCTGAGAAGCCAGACTGCATCCCTAACACTCAAGTATCAGACATTCTCAATGGCCATCTCAAGTCTGATGCCTCCTTAACGATGCTGTGTAAACCCTGGGACCCCAGCTCACATCTGGGGCTATTGTCCATTCATGGGATCACAGGGAGGTTATTCACTACTGGCGCCTTGGGTCTCACCGGTGTAGGGTGACTGGAACCAGACCACAAAGGGTTCCCTGGAAAATACATCTGTGTCTCCAGCCTGATAGTCATGGTAGAGGTAGCGTTTCTTCACAGACAGTAGCTTTTCCCTAGGGGAGAAAAAATAGGAAGCACTTCCAGCTGAGTCAGTTGACGTCTTCATTCAAGAAGCAGAGACATGGCTTCATTAGCCCCCCAGGCAGGCTCTTGCCCTGCAAGGGATCTTTCACCCGAGAACAAGGCTCCATCTACTCTTCTCCATGGCCACCCTTTGAAAGCTGGAGATCTGAGCAGTACCACTTATCTGGGGCACCCACAAGTTAATGTTCAGACTTAGAACAAATTACTGTAGGAAGAAGACAAAACTCTGAAGTTTCAGAGACAGCCATGCTGGGCAACTCAGGTTTCCATCCCTGGGCCAGGACTTGATGAGGGAGGATAAAGAACTCCTGACCCTCCTGACCAGGCAGCCACTGACTCAACCAACAAATTAGGTGTTAGGAAGCTGCTTGTACTCTTCAGTTTGAAGAGGTAACGCTTTGCTTCAGAGTCAATTTGACAGCAATTATTTTGATCAATATTGAGAACTGGTTAGAGGTCAACATTTGGTTTTGAAGAAAAGATAAGCATTTTGATTCAATTCACAGTCATCATTTATAAGTGAGCCACATTCCAGGAAGCATAGGCTATACTCACTTGTAGAGAAAGGCATACTGCTCTTTATATGTGTTTCTTCCAAGGCGAGAGCTAATCACATAGTTGTACATTGTGCCTTTTCTTGAATTTCTTGAATTTCTTGAATTTCTAAAATGCAGAGATTTTACATCATGCATCTTAAAAAATAAACATCCCCCTATTGCATGTTCCCCTATCTTCACTCTGTATCCATATCACCAATGGCATCATGGAGAAGGGTTACCGTTCATCATAACCTTGGGGTCTAATAAGAAGGGCCACCCACCATTGACTGGGAATGTGACATCTTCCAGGATCTTAATAGCCATTAACTCTTACCCTTAGAAGATGGGTACTGTTGTTACCCACCTTGTATAGTTTGCAGGTGCAGAGCTGGGATTTGAACTCAGATCCTACATACTCCAAATCCACACCCTTTGCCCTGCACCTGTGGGACATTATTGAGACCATAGAAGCTTCAGGCCAGAATCTGCTCCATATCTCACTCTGGCTCATGGCTGGGGCTGACCTCATACTTCCTGGTGGAGGAAACCTTATCAGGTCACCCCGTCCATGCACTACTGCTGAACATTTATCATATGCAGAATTCCTAGTAACGTTTTCATTGGACATTCACTCCTGCTCTGAAAACCCTCAAGCATTTTCTCACAAGTCCTAGAACTATGATTTCAGACCAGCTATTGTTTATGTTCTGGGGGCTGGCGATACAGATGTGAAGTCCCATTACCTCTACCCCTCATTTACACCAGGGAAACTTGACTCCCCATGTGTTTGCCAAACCTGCTGATAACTCACCCTGGGCAGCGCCTGGCATGGTCTAACCCATTTGCCCGCAGAAAGATCTAGGGCATGTCTAAGCTATAGCATATTCTCAGGTTTAGTAGCAGAAGGAGCATATAGGGCCCAACCTAGGCCCTACAGAAATTCCTAGGACTTTAGGTACATATTCTTTTTTTTTTTTTTTAAGTTTATCTATCTTAAGAGAGAGAGAAAGAGAGAGAGAATCCTAAGCAGGCTCCTCGGTGTCAGTGCAGAGCCCAGCTCGGGGCTTGATCCCACGAACCATGAGATCATGACCTGAACCGAAATCAAGAGTCAGACGTTTCACCAACTGAACCATCAAGGTGCCACTAGATACATATTCTAAGGCAGGTCTGGCTACTGGGGCCTGAGGAATGTGGACGTTGGATTCCACTGGGGTTCCAGTTTGGGAAAGTTGGCCTTGTTCTGAATCTAGCCTGCCAAATTTTGGGTTGGCAAAATGCTTGCCGTGACTCAGCTGTGAGGTGACTAAGGCTCCTGTTGGCTTACGAGGGATAAGGGGACAAACAGGCCTGCTTCTGCCTGGAGTCAGTGGCATGGTCTAGGGGGCCTGGGACAACTGAGGCCAGTTGGGGTGGGAAGACTCAATCCAGGCTGGCTGTGGGGAGGGGCATAGAGCCCCTGTCCCCTCGTACTTCTGAAAACTGACCAGAGTCCCTCTAAGGAAAGCTCAGGAGGTTCAGAATAGAGCACCAGCTTTGGAGTCAGAAATGACCCAGGTTCAAAGGTAAGCTCCACGATTTACTGGCTGGGTGAACTTGGGCAAGTCCCTTCTCTCTGTTCCTCAGTTCCCTCAGCTATAAGGGAAACAGTAATAGTACCCACCCCACAAAGCTGTTGTGGGAGTGAATGAAATAGCACACGTAAATTGATTAACTGGATGCTTGGCATGTAGTTAGGGTACCGATGGCAGCTGTTACATGCGGCCCTTGGGACCATCATTTGCCACCATAATTTGCTTCCTTTTACTAGTAATAGACACCACCAGCCCTGACTGGTCACTGCTACAGACCAGGCACAGCCCAACCACTTATATGCAGGATTTAATCAGCACCACATTCCGGGAAGATGGGTTCCATTACCAGTCCCATTTTATACACAGGGAAAATGAGGTGCAAAGAGGGTGAGTAACTTGCCCAAAGTCATAGCAGAGTCAAAATCCAAACACAAGTGGTCTGAGTTGAGTGTAGGCGCCTGACCCTTGCACTAAACTCCCTTGTCTGTCATCAAAGATCAGATCTGGAAAGAGAAGAGCTGCTGAGGCTGAATGGAGAAGCTCAGCCCAACTCCATATTTCCAGATGAGAAAATGAGCCCCGGAGAAGGGGGAACCAGCCCAGGGGACCCTCTTGTGTGAAGGAGAGTGTCCAAGATTTCCTCCCAGGCTGAATGAGGCTGGATTGACCATTCATTTACTTAAAAAATAATAATAATAACAGGGGCACCTGGGTGGCTCAGTTGGTTAAGTGTCCAACTTTGGTTCAAGTCATGATCTCACAGTTCGTAGGTTCGAGCCCCATGTCAGGCTCTGTGCTAACAGCTCAGAGCTTGGAGCCTGCTTCGGATTCTGTGTCTCCCTCTCTCTCTGCCCCTGTCCTGCTTGCACTCTGTCTCTGTCTCTCAAAAAGTGAATAGACATTAAAAAAATATTTAAAAAAATAAAAATTTTAAGTTTATTTATTTATTTTGGGAGAGAGAGAGAGTGCACAGGAGGGGCAGAGAGAGAGGGAGAGAGACAGAGACTCCCAAGCAGGCTTTGCACTGTGACAGTGTGGAACCCAATGCGGGGCTGACACAAACTGGGAGATCATGGTCTAAGCCGAAATCAAGAGTCAGTTGCCCAACCAATCGAGCCACCCCCATGCCCCTTGAATATGCCTTTTTAACTCACATTGGGATGATTTTCAGGTGGGTGGGTTTGCTGATTATTCTTTGAGAAAGAATATAAATCACAAATATAATCCAACATAATTTAAAAATATTTGAGGACATTATCTTTTGTGGTTTTTTTTTTTGAAGTTGTAAAATCAGATTTTTGTAAGCTATTCAAATCATATAGAAATATATACAATAAAAAGTAAATATTCTGCATTTCTTCACTGACTGCCTCCACAATGGTCCTCCAATCACACCCACTCCCCTGGCCCAGAAGTAACCACTATTAATGGTTTGGGCACATTCTTCTAGTCTTTCCTCTAGGCTCATGCAAACTCAAACACATGCTTATTCATGTATAGGGTAATGTGATTACTAAAATGGGCTACTCTACGTACGGTTCTGAACCTGCTGTTTTCAATATACTGCAGCCATCTTTCCATACTGGAATATTTAGCTCTAAGCTATTCTGTAGTGATCATGATTTTTAATGGCTACATCATATTCCAGCCTGTGGGCATACCATAACTTCATATTTGCACTCAACCTTTTTTTTATAACGGTAGTTCTAAGCTCAGCCCCTTGTGTCTTTTGTTTCTCTCTCTGTCCTGGCTCCTCATCTGTTCCCTCTACTTTACTTTATCATATTAACACTAGCTGGTTGAAAGTTCTCAGGACTTTGGCTAATGGAGTTGGAAGTGTGGGCAGTGTTGGTCATGTGACTTGGTAGTCAGGGTGAGTGCTGGCTTTCACCCTTGGTTCAATTCCTCAGGCTTTTCAGGTGTCCTTGCAGTTGGCCTTGAGTCTGCAGAGGGTCTAGGAGCCCCGTCTTTACCCATTTAGTCTGTCCATCAGCATGGGACAGATAATGTTGTTGCTGTCCTTGATTTCCATCAGGAGTATGATATCACAGCGTTTGATGACCTGTGAAGACAGAATTCGCAGGTGTTTCAGGCCATTTACTGCAAGTAATAAAATCTTTTATTGGGCACTTACTATGTTTTAGGTATAGGATTGGTGCTTTGTTAAAGTAATGAATTTCATCACTGAAATAAGTGAAGAACTTTGTGAGGCAGGTCGTATTTTGATGTCTATTTTATTTGATTAAAAATTTTATTTTTAGGGGTGCCTTGGTGGCTCAGTCGGTTAAGCATCCAACTTTGGCTCAGGTTGTGATCTCACGGTTCATGAGTTCAAGCCCTGCGTTGGGCTCTGTGCTGACAGCTCGGAACCTGGAGCCTGCTTCTGATTCTGTGTCTCCCTCTCTCTCTGCCCCTTCCCTGTTCATGTTCTGTCTCTCTCTGTCTCAAAAATAAAATAAAACATTAAAAATAATTTATTTTTAAGTAATCTCTACACCCAACGTGGGGATCGAACTCACCACTGACTGAGCAACTCAGGAGCCCCCCCCCCCCACCTTTTAATGTTTATTTCTTTTCAGTTATGTCTGTTTTAAAGATAAGGAGCCTGGGGCTCCAGGAAAACCGAGTAAACTATCCAAAGTCACTCAGCTAGAAAATGGCCAAGGCAGAATGCAAATCTAGGCAATCTGAATCCAGAGCCTATGATCACGTGTCCTATATCTTGTTTTTTTTTTTTTGCTTGAATAATCACCATAATAATAATAATAATAATAAATATTTCTTAAGCTCTTAGTATGTGAGAGGTGCCAGTATGGATATGGGTCTCCCCAGTTCACCTGGCAACAAAATCATAATAATAAAAATTACAAGGGCTAACATTTATTGTGAGCCTACCATAAGCCTCACCAACACTGTGAGAGAACTATGATTATTGGCTCACTAACCTCAGGAGAAAACCAGGCTCAGAGTGTTTGAGTGGAAAGTTTGAAGTCACACAGCCAGTATAGATGGTAGAGTCAGGATTTGAATTCGGGTTCTTGTGACTACAAAGCCTACCATGCTGTTAAAACATCAGGGAGAGCTGGGTCCTGCCACCGAGCCAGCTTGCTGATTTAGTCACTGGTCTCTGTCAGACCTTTCTGGAAGGCACTTTAAAGTATGTATCAAAAGTCTTGGAGTATGTACTTACTCTTTGGCCTAGTTTTCCCCCTTTGAGGAAGGTCTTCTATTATAAAGAAATATCTACTACTTCTCTGCACCTCAGTTTCTTCATCTATAAATTGGAATGATGACAGTTATTCCCTCACAAGGTTGCTGGAGGATTAAATGGGTCCTTAGAACAGTGCTAGGCATTTGGAGCCACACACGAAATTATTATTGCTATTATTATTATTTGTACAGATCAAAGAGGAAGAGGCATTGTGCAATAGCACAACAAAAACTTGGAAACAACCTAAGTATCCCCAAATAGAAAAGCATTAAATGAAAGATGTTGTAAACATGGCATAGGACATTATGTAGCATTAAAAGTCATGTTTTAAAAGAATATTAACAACACGTGAAATACTTCCAATATAAAAGCAGAATACAAAACTGGTGATATAGGGCAGTCTCCATGCTGCAAAACAGATGCAGTTTTTAATTTTTTTTTAATATTTATTTATTTTTGAGAGACAGAGAGAGACACAGTGTGAACGGGGGAGGGGCAGAGAGAGAGGGAGACACAGAATCCGAAGCCAGCTCACAGCTGACAGCTGTGAACACATGTTCAAGCCCACGAACCATGAGATCATGACCTGAGCTGAAGTTAGACGCTTAACCAACTGAGCCACCCAGGCACCCCCAGATGCAGTTTTATGTATTTATTTTTGCATAGAAAAATGCCCATAAAATGCCCTAAATGCCAATAGCTCTTATCTTCAAGTGATAGGGTAACAGCTGATATTTTTTTTCTTCTTTATATGCTTCTATATGTTCAAAGTAGTCCATAATGACCATTTTTAACTTAATAAAATTAAGTTAGAAATTAAAATTTTTTAACTTAAAAATGATACCTTTCTAATTTTAAAAAATTAAAGTGTTATTAAAAAAAGGAAACTGCTTGAGGATAAAGTAATTATGGGAGAGGAGATGATGGCCAATATTTATTAAGATATGACAGATGAGGGGCGTCTGGGTGGCTCAGTCAGTTAAGTGTCTGACTCTTGATTTCGGCTCAGGTCATGATCTCACAGCTCATGGGACTGAGCCCTGCTTCAAGCTCCACACCGAGCTACTCCACACCAAGCATGGAGCCTGCTTGGGATTCTCTTTCTCTGCCCCGCCCCCCAAGGGCCCCCTCGCGCATGCTCTCTATCCCTCTCTCTCTGCCCCGCCCCTGCACCCGCACTCTCTCTTTCTCAAAAAAAAAAAAAAAAAAAAAAAAAGTGACAGGTGAGAGTCTATTTAACATAAGTTAAATAAATTGTCTTACATAGAGTGCTTCATGTGGTGCCTGGCTTTATAAGTGTTAGCTCTTGTCATCAACTCATTAAATTTTTATAATAGTCCTTTGATGTTGGCCGTCTTGTTATCCCCATAGTATAATTGAGGACTCTGCCTCAGTGCAGTTAAGTAATGTGAACACCCTGTGAATGTGAATAATGGGATCATCCACTGCGGAGCCCTGCTTGACCACTATGCTCAACAACGGAGGAGATCCCCACATCCCCTGATTGCTCCTCCTCGGAGACCAAGGTCCCTTTCGAATGTAACCCATTGCCGTGGGACAAAAATGGGCCAGAGTTCAGACTCCCTTTCCTGAGCAGAAGGGTTGAGCTTTTATTTTTTCATTTTGTTTTGTTTTGTTTCTGAGAAAGAGAGAGAGAGAGAGAGAGCACAAGTGTGCGCTTGAGTGGGGGTGAGGGACAGAGAGAGGGAGAGAGAGAGAATCCCAAGCAGGCTCCATGCCTAGCTTGGAGCCCGATCCCATAACTCTGGGATCATGACCTGAGCCGAAATCAAGAGTTGGATACTCAAACAACTGAGCCACCCAGGCGCCCCTGAAGGGTTGAGCTTTTAGATTCCCTGTTTACAACCCTTTTGCCTCAATAACAAATGCTCTGGAGCCCCACATCTCCTTGATCTTGGCTCAGGTTATGATCTCGAGGTTTGTGAGATTGAGCCCCGCATCAGACTTTACTGACAGCAGAGAGCCTCCTTGGGATTCTCTCCCTCTCTTTACTCCTCTCTCTCAAGATAAACTTAAAACAATAATTTTGTTATAATTTTCTAATTATAAAAATAATGTTGCTTATTGTAGAAAATTTGGAAAATGTAGAAGACTATAAAAAAATCACCTGATGAACTGTAAAGCCACCACTCAGACACTTCTCATGTGATTTCTATACTTATACATATTTACAAAATGGCATCAGAATAACTAGCCCGTGAGTTGAAAATATAGGCATCGAATCAAATGGCCTTGGATTCATGTCTTGACTCTATCGCTCACCAGCTGTGTGATCTTGAGCAAGTCACGAATGTTCCTTGAACCGCCAGATTCCTTATCTGTAAACTGGGACAGTACCCTCCTTATGGGGTTGCCATAGAGATTAAAGGACATGATGGAAATAATACATTCAGTCTAGTCCCTGGCACAGAAAAGACGCTCAGCAAACAGTGGCAATATTTATTACACGGTTTGTGTCTTTTTTTTTTTTTTAATCTCACATGACATTGTGAGCATTTTTCTCAGTTTTCAAATCCACCACTGATGCGTGTTTTCTCTGCCCCAATTTCAGGCCAGGAAAAATAGATCCCCCCCGGGCTCCATCTCCTCAGAATGAGGCTCCAAAGATGAGGGCCCCCAGAAGGCCCTCCCAAACCTGAAACTCAAGATTTTCCTGAGGCTGCTGTTCACAGAGGGAGGGAGTAGGGATTGAGCATAGCCAGTAGTGAGGGGCTCCCAGCAAGTGGTGTGGTGAGTGGGGCTGGGGGGAAGGGAAGGGACACTCTGGAGAACTCTATGAACACTCTGGGGCCAGAGAAGCCTATTAAACCTTTTGTTGTGCCTCTGAACAGGGAGCAACCAGCATGGTGGGGAAAGAGCCCAGAGAGGGTCAGTTAGGCCTGGGTCCAAGCCCTTGTTCTTTTGCTCACTTGCTCCATGACGCCCAGGACAATGTACTCCTCCTCTCTGAATTCCAGTTGTCTCGTCTACAAAATGCAACCAGTGGGGTTGTGAGGCTGAACTTGGATACTGCATGTTAAAGACCCGGCATACAGTAAGCAATCCGGAAATCATCATTATCATGTGCTGTGGGAAACAATGCCTCCCATGTCCACCATCTTATCCCCAGTGCGTGCCTCAGAGCAGCTGGCACGTGGTCTACCTTCAGCAAGTGTTTGTTGGCTGAACAGACTTCGCTCTTTAAGGACACAAACTGAAGAAGCAGACAGAAGCAGGCAGGGTTTGGCATCTGGAAAACTGCCCATGGTGCCAGCCAGCAAACCCAAGATGATGACAGCAGGCCTCCCTCACTCTCCAACCTCCCTGATGAAGATCATAATGACAACAGCATGATGAAACTGGGTTCGTCTCTGAAGTGATAAATCCAGTATGGAAGAGTGGAAAACGCACCTCCACGAATATGGTTGGGTCATATGTCTGGACTTGATCCTTCCCCTTAACAGCTATGGAATCCTGGGTAAGTCACTTCTTTCTGAGTCTCTGTTTTCTGGATTACAAAGTGCGGGCAATGCCACCTATGTCATAATAAGAATATAACATTCCTGGGAATACCTAGGTGGTTCAGTTAGTTAAGAATCTGACTTCAGCTCAGGTCATGAGCTCATGGTTCATGGGTTCAAGCCCCACGTTGGGCTCTGTGCTGACAGCACAGAGCCTGGAGCCTGCTTCAGATTCTGTGTCTCCCTCTGTCTCTGCCCCTCCCCTGATTGTGCTGTCTCTCTCTCAAAAATAAATGAATAAACATAAACATTAAAAAAAAAAGGATATAAAATTCCTGGCCTATAGTAGGTACTTAGACATTAGCCCCTGTAAATATTACTTTCCTGAATGCCTGGGTTTGGGTTTTATTGTTTGTGCTCTCAATGGCTCTGGAGGTATTTGGGGATGGCCTCTGAATACAGGATGGTCTTGCAACAATGGGGAAAGTAAGGAGTCCTTGACAAAGACTTTTCACATGCTTGGTGTTTGGTGTGATGGGCTGTCCATCCATCAGCCCTGTGTCCATCCGACACAGCCGCTCAGGGGAGGTGCTGAGTATAAGCCCCCAATAATGGAATCACCAAGGAACAAAAGATAGTCTTTTGTTCTCTTAAGACTCTGATGACATTGCCTGGATAGAATAAGTGAGGAAGGTAATGGGAACACAGTCGGTACCCGGGTTCCACGAGCCCTTGTGTGAGGGAGCAGGGAAAATAATTTCCTCGTATGTCAAAGTTGCCTGTTGAGCCAGGGAGTCTCGGCTCCCACAGGCTTGGCATGGCTCTTCTGGCTGAACAACCATCTCTGGAAGGCGTTGGGTGCTGTCCAAAGGGCAGGGCCAACCAGGGAGAAGACCATGTAAGTAAGAGCAGAGCATGCCAGTCCTTGCTCTAATCCACTTTGTGTATTCATGCCAACAGTGGCAGCTCTGTGTGAGATCGCCTGCCCACTCACGGGCTCTACCTTGATTTGCCTAGGCCAACTGGTGCTACAGGTTGTGTAAGGCCCACTTTCAGAAAGGCCCAGGGGCTCAGCGAGGAGAAGGGAATTCCCGGGCTTGCTCACACAGCTGCCTGGTGGGATCTGACCCCAGAGCTCCTGGTGTTCCCACCATACCCTGGTGCCTCCAGGGGTTTCTAAGGTGATAATACCCAGACAGAGCCCTGGGAAAGGTTTCAGCTCCCAGCATCATCAAAAATAAATTAACCTGTAGGGTAAAGAGAGTCAAGCAACTCTAAAGAAATGTGAGCAGCATCTCCAGACATTGGTCACAATACCCACAATACCCACGGGAAGTCATATATATATATATATATATATATATACACACACATATATACATACATATATATATATGTGTGTGTGTGTATGTATATATATGTATATATGTATATATGCATATATATGTATATATATATGTGTGTGTGTATACATATATATGTACACACATATATATACATATATATGTAAATTTTTTAATGGTTTATTTATTTATTTTTGGAAGAGAGAGAGAGAACACAAGCAGGGGAGGGGCAGAGAGAGAGGGAGACACAGAATCCGAAGCAGGCTCCAGGCTCAGTGCAGAGCCTGACAGAGGGCTTGAACCCACAAACCATGAGATCATGACCTGAGCCAAAGTCAGACACTTAACTTAACTGACAGAGCCACCCAGGCGCCCTGTGCAAGGGAAGTCTTATCTAAGTGGAGAGAAAGATAAGAATTGATAGTTGGGAAAAGGTTGATGGGGTGGGCAGTGAAGAAGGAAGAAGAGAGGGGTGTAGAGAGAAAGAAAGAAAAAAAAAAACAAAGAAAGAAAGAAAGAAAGAAAGAGAAAGAAAGAAAAAGAAAGAAAAGAAAAATGAAAAGCAAGAAAACAGAATGAAAAAAAAAAAGAAAGAAAGAAAGAAATGAAGAGAGAAAAGAGCTAGCAAAAAAATCTGTGCTGCATTGATGGGTAAAAAGACCAGGCTGGGCTGGTCTCCCAGCTCCCCTCCACCTACCCACCCACCACCTATATGAGGTCACTTCACCTTTTGTTGTTCATCTCTTCGTGGGGATAAAAATCCTCCTTTTTAAGGGTGATGAAAGGAAATCACGTATTTGCAGTGCCTGACAGGGGCGTTCAGTAACCGGGAGCCAGATGCTGTTTTAGGGGCTTCACACGTGCCAACTCAAGCATTCCCCAAAACCGTCCTACAAGGAGGTACTGGCATTACCCTCACGTTCAGATGATGACATGAAGCCCAGAGAGGTGATGTGGTTACTGGAATTACTGCTGCCATTATTGTGACAAAATGCCAAGGCGGCTGCTACCTTCACCCCAGCGACTAACTTGAGTGGAACATCTCCTGAGTCTCTTAAAGTCTGAACGCATCAGAGAGGGCACGAGGGGGGTCCGGCGCTCTTTCCGACAGGAAAAGGTCTCACCTTCACGATGACATCCATGGCATTCTTGTTTTCCTTCTTGGCTTCCCCAAAGGACCTCACATTAAAGGAGCAGAGCCTCAGGGCCAGGGCACTGCCGGTGGAAAGGAGGAGAAGCAGGAGGAAGGTGGGTGGCTGAGGCATCCTGATGTTCCTCTGGCTTCAGAGAGAGGGCAGCGGTGTCTGGTGTGCGGGCTCTAGGCCACTGCTTCAGGCTCAGCTGACTTATAAAGCCTGCAGATAACAGGAATTACTGGATTCCTTGTTGCTACTTTCACTTCTCTGAGGAACTGAAGATCATGGGTTTCATTCCCCAAGGAAATGGAGAAAAGGGGCTAGTCTTTGAGGAGCCCCTGTTTTTGTCACTCTGGTGAGGAAATCGGCCTGCGTAATTTGGGCACCATCCTCCGCAAAGTCACTCATATCCCAACCGGGAGCCAGCTGTGACATCTGGCCATCCGTCCTGTGGTGGCATGCCATCTGCCTTCTTTTCCTGAGAATTGATAATTCGGAAGCCATCTACCCCAGAGGGCAGCTGGGGAGCAGGAGCCTTCTGTGAGGGGGCAGTGAAGCAGGGGCCGGAGGGAAATCCTGCCAGGCTTTCTGTCCTCACTGGGATTTGGCAGCCAGCTGTCCCTGGACACACCCAGGCTCCAACTCTCTAATCGCCCCAATGGGCGTTGTTAAGGTCAAGTCTAGTTTGAGTTACATAATTTTTTAAGGCAGTTTTACTGTATACAGTTTAATACACCAAATGCTAGCAGTGTGTTCCCAAGAACAGCAATTACTAGCCTGCTAGAACGGGTCAGGAAAATGTGCTTGGACTTTAAGGATGAAGAGCCAGTTAAAGCCCCTAGAAAGATCCACGATTCAACCAGATATTGCTTTAATGTTTGTAAGAGCTGTATGACCCGGGAAAGGAAGGCTTTGTAAGAGCTGTAGGATTTTGACCTAAGTAAAATGAGTTTTGGAGATGTGGGCGCGGAGACAGAAGATCTGAAATGCAAAATCCAATCCAGTTGTAAGCCCCGGTGAGCTTTGCAGACTTGGGCAAGGAAAATTCTTCCGTGAAGAAGGTGGGTAATGAGAATTGGAAGCCAGCATTGGGATCTCTGGACAACCCCCGCTTTGAAGTGATGGGCGGCTGGCTGTAGCCACAGAGAAAGGTGCGGATATATAACTAACATACATCCAGTCAGCATCCTGGCCAAAATCTCGGACCAACCATGCCCAGGCAGGCTAAGGAGATAGCCCCAAAGAGCACATGGAGGGAAATAATGGTTTCCTGAGCTCCTGGTGAGAGAAAGCTCTCTAGAGCCTATAACAGGCCTCCTTGAATCTCTGGGGAAAATGGTGGTGATTGCCTGGCAAATAGGCAGGTTACAACCAGAAGAAGATTTAGAATTAAGTGTGGTACATGCTTTTTGTGACTTTTAAGAAGGAATCTGTACATGCGTACATTTTATGAATGTGTAACATGTGAGAGATTTTGGCCCGTTTAACCGACAATTTTTTAATTCCAACGTAAAATGTGCAATTAGGGGGATGGATTCAGATTCGTGACTTTAAATTGAAACCTTACTAAGGGTTTCATACTAACCGTATGCACCGTTCTGAAACCTTTATGAGAATTTTGGGTTAACTATGTTTCCATAAGTTTAATTAATTAAAATTACTTAATATTTAGGGTCACCTGGCTGGCTTAGTTGGTGGAGTGTGCAACACTTGATCTCAGGATTATGGGTTCGAGCCCCGTATTGGGTGTAAAGACTCCTTAAAAATAAAAAAATCTTTAAAAAAAAGAATTAGTATTTAAAAAGATGGCTTTTTCATTAGTTCAGACAACTGAAGAAGTTTTCAAGGAAATGGAGTATATTAAATTTATAAAAGAAGTGTAAAATGTTTGAAAATGGATCTATGACCCCTTAAAAGTAATTAAGTTTGCCGAATATAGGGTTGGTTAGATTTAGCAAATAAATGTAAATGTGACTTTTAAATCATTCAGATTTAATTGGGCATCCTATCTTCTGTTTTATCTGGCAATGCTACCTGGGCTTATGAAAAGAATAAGAAATTTTATAAGCTGAACTTAAAAGCATGACATTTAAAAAAATGTTTATTTTTTTTATTAAAAAAATTTTTTTTTAATTTTTTTAATGTTTATTTATTTTTGAGACAGAGAGAGACACAGCATGAACGGGGGAGGGGCAGAGAGAGAGGGAGACACAGAATCGGAAGCAAGCTCCAGGCTCTGAGCCATCAGCCCAGAGCCTGACGCGGGGCTCGAACTCGCGGACCGCGAGATCGTGACCTGAGCTGAAGTCGGACGCTTAACCGACTGAGCCACCCAGGCGCCCCCCCCCATAAAATTTTTTTTAACATTTATTTATTTTTGAGACAGAGAGAGAGAGACAGAGCATGAACGGGGGAGGGGCAGAGAGAGAGGGAGACACAGAATCAGAAGCAGGCTCCAGGCTCCGAGCCATCAGCCCAGAGCCCGACGCGGGGCTTGAACTCACAGACCGCGAGATTGTGACCTGAGCTGAAGTCGGACGCTCAACCGACTGAGCCACCCAGGCGCCCCAAAAAATGTTTATTTATTTTTGAGAGACCGAGAGACAGAGTGTGAGTGGGGGAAGCTCAGAGAAAGAGGGAGACACAGAATCCAAAGCAGGTTCCAGGCTCTGAGCTATCTGCACAGAGCCTGACATGGGGCTGGAACCCACAAACCACGAGATCATGACCTGAGCCAAAGTTGGACACTTAACCGGCTGAGCTACCCAGGTGCCCCAAGGACGACATTTTCTAAGACAATAACAATCCTGTCAGGGTCCTGGAATAATGTTTAGTTCCTAGTATCAAAGATAAGTTACTTGGGAGTGTCTGGCTGGCTCAGTCTATGGTGCATGACTCTTGATCTTGGGGTTGGTTGGTTCGAGCCCCATGGTGGGTGCAGAGGTTACTTAAAAATAAAATCTTTAAAAAAAGTAAGCTAATCTGTAGGATGTGAGTCAACTAATCTGTGTTTGAATTTTTAACTTTGATCATTTGAATATTAATTTGAAAAATAAAGTAAACCTCTGAAGAGTGGTTTCTGCATATAGAAACTGCCCTTAAGGACTTAAAAAAAAAATCACCTGAACAGTCAGAAAACATTGACCCCATTCTGTAATTAGCACATTCACTGCATGGAATCGGACTTAGAAAAAAAAAAAAAGTACCTGGATTCTGGAAAGAAAATTGTAAGCCTCAAGTTTAACTGAAGCCAACTGGGTACAGGGGCTTGGTGGAGTGCTTTCTGTGTTTCATATCACTCAATACTCCTCTAAGCCCTTAAGCTATGCTCCCTCCATTTTATAGATGAGCAAACTGAGGTTTGGTCCCAAAGATACACAGCTAGCCCATTGGAGCTGGGGCATGAACTGAGTCACTCGGACTCCAGACCAGCCTTTCCCCCCACCAAACCAGGCACAGCAAAAACCTTAATAAGGAGCAAACACTGTAGGTGAGAGATGGGAAGGAGACCGAAGTAGGACTTTCACTTTTTACTGTAGACACTTGGGTACTGTTTGTTTGTTTGGTACTTAAAAAGAAAAAAAAAGTACTAAACAGCTTTTTATTTTTTTTTAAACCGTTCAAACAATGCCGGTGGCAACATGTGTTCTGTCTTTGTGCAACTGAGCCAAGGAAAGGCAGCTTTCAACTGGCCCCAAGAGTCACTGATAACATGGAAAGGTCGGAGTGACCAGGCTGTACTGCAGGCTCAAGGAAAGGAGAAACCCCACACTTGTCCATCCTGTGCTGGGAATTGGGAGTTTGAGACAGTTCCTTCCAGGAGCCTAGAGCCCAGAGCCCAGAAGGAAAGGCAGACCCTGGCCTGACCAACGATGCACAGTTTGAAGTGTCCTTCCTACTGCCACTTAGTGGCTATGGATGACATTTCCTGGGGCATGTACTTTCAACCACTAGTCTATAAGATGCTTCTAGGAAAAAGGACAAATATATATTACTACTTCTTTTTTTTTTTTAATTTTTTTTTCAACGTTTATTTATTTTTTGGGGGACAGAGAGAGACAGAGCATGAACGGGGGGAGGGGCAGAGAGAGAGGGAGACACAGAATCAGAAACAGGCTCCAGGCTCCGAGCCATCAGCCCAGAGCCTGACGCGGGGCTCGAACTCACGGACCGCGAGATCGTGACCTGGCTGAAGTCGGACGCTTAACCGACTGCGCCACCCAGGCGCCCCTATATTACTACTTCTTGGAGATTTATAATGCACATTAGCATCTTAAATGTTCTGAAAAGTTCTGCAATAAGGAAAGCTGCTTCACTGTGCTGAAACAGGGCGTCCTGACTTTATTGTCCACAGAAACTTTTTCTTCATATAATTCCTTTCAATATCTCGAACAATGTCTGCCTTGGGAAATACCATCCTAATGTGGCAGGGACAATCAGGTCCCCTCAAAGCCTTACACCCTCATCTTTGTTAATAAGCCCCTGCTGAAGGGTCCCATGCATGTCATATGAATGGGTAGAAATGAGGATCAGGAGGTCAGACACATGGTCCCAAACATCACTGGGAGCCACAGCCATCCACCATGGACCCTGATGGGACAGGAGTCAGTGTGGGGCAATACACTGGGAAAAAGATGGAAGGCAAGATGGAGATTTCAGGAGGAGTGAACGTGGCCGGGGTGGGGGGGGGGGGGGGAAAAGCTGCATGACCCAAACAGGTGTTTCCAGTGACTAATGTCACTCTTTATCTCGTAATAAATGAACCCTAGCAATAATCTTGTAGTGCATGCAAATTGCTCCAGTTATCACATTTCACAGTCAGCTTCCCTCACCACAACCGTGAGGGGAGTCGCCTTATTTAAATTTGCTTAATCGTGACACACCTCACCTTTGTATGATGATTTACAAATGATGAAGCAGGCTCTGGGTTTTGACCTCACACAGGTTCTTCCACACGAGGCTGTTCCTGGACCTCAAACAAGTCCTTTACTTTCCGAAGAACAGGGCTCAGGGCTCAGTCACTGCTCTGATTAGAACCCTTCAAAGGCCCTTTGTTTGACCTAAAGACCAAGCTGATTCTTGTGGCCTCTACTTACCTACCTCTTCAAAGTAACACTGTTCTTTTCCCTTCTTCCTCCCCTGGCCTCCCTTCACACCTAGAGGCTTTTAGTTCCCACCTCAGAGCCTTTGCACAGCTGTTCGCTCCACCCATGCTGCCCTTCCTTCCTCCCCGCTCCAGGTCTCAGCTTAAATGCCACTCTCTCAGAGAAACCTTGCCAGAGCCCCCCAG